CTGTTCCTTTGTAAGGCTTGTGATTTTTTTTCTTGAGAATTGGGTATTCACTATTATAATATGGTAACTCTAGGTAAGAGATTCTTTCCTTTCCCCATGGTTTTCTAGTTCATTTTTTTTTTATTTTTAAAAGCTGTCATCCATTCGTTTTGAGAGTTTTCCAAATTACTTTTATAAAAGACTATCCCTTTTGTGTGTGATCACTGAAGTCTCTCTTCTTTTTATGTCATATTCAGCGATTTTGACATAAATTCCCTCGAATGTCAGGTGCTATCCTAGATTTTACAAATTGGCTTTGTGCCAGGTAATCCTCCAATACTTACTTTGACCTGCTTTTGAGCTTATGGACCAGAGCAAGGTGAAAGCTTAGGTCTTAGAACTTTCTGGGCAAGTGTTTTCCCTGGGCATACGCATGTCGCATTTTAAATGCCGCCTGTATATATAACTGTTCTTAATTTCCTAATTTCCCAAAGCCTTACCCCAGATTCTCCTCTGGGCCTTAGTTGTTCTATTTTATGTTTCCACCTATAACCTCCTGCCCCATGTACCTGTGGTTCTTTGCAGCTTTTATAAGCAGTGCCCACCCTTCCAGTTAGGCAAAAAAAAGATGAGACCTTGTATCAGTCCTTCAGGTATCCCCAGACAGGTTAGAAAAAAATGTACACAGTAATATGCCAAAAAAGTCTATTATGTTTTCTCTAGTTCAAGGGAGGGAACTGGGCTGCTGCTGCTTCAAGACTGTCACAATGCAGGGAGGGGTCGGGGCAAGAGCCACTAAAAACTCAATATTTTCCTACCATTCTGAAGATGACTGGGAATTTTTTTGGTTGCTGTAAACCTTTGACTGTTTTCTAAAGTTCTAATAAAGTTCGTTCAGACGGTTGCTACTTTTTTTTTTTTTTAATGTTTTGATGGGGAAACAAAAGCTTGCAGCTTCCTAGTCTGCCCATTTTGCTGATGTCACTGGGGTCAATTATGTTTTATTCCTCCCTATAATTTTAGTATTACAAGACCTTGAATAGAGTATGTTTATTAAGTATAGTGATTAAATTTTGGTTAGTGAGAATTAGAAAAATGTCAATGGTCTCAAAATTCTCCTCAATCTGATCATCTGCATTTAAAAGCAACATTAATGAATATATTTTCTTTCAATTTCTTCTAAATTAATCAGTCTTGCCTGTTTTTGCTGGCTGTGATAACAGTCACTATAGAGCAAAAACTTTTATAAATCTGTTTTAAGAAATGAAAGCTTACGGCTGGGCACAGTGGCTCATGCCTGTAATCCCAGCACTTTGGGAGGCTGAGGTGGGCAGATCACCTGAGGTTGGAGTTTGAGGCCAGCCTGACCACCATGGAGAAACCCCATCTCTACTAAAAATACAAAATTAGCCGGGCATGGTGGCGCATGCCTGTAATCTCAGCTACTCGGGAGGCTGAGGCAGGAGAATCACTTGAACCCAGGAGGTGGAGGTTGCAGTGAGTCGAGATCATGCCATTGCACTCCAGCCTGGGCAACAAGAGTGAAACTCTGTCTCAAAGAAAAGAAATGGAAGTTTCCATACCGAAATATTAAGTGATACTTATTGGCTTCTGCCAGTTTCCTATTTTGCAGTAGCATATGTTCTTGTAACCTGTCTTCAGTTGTGGCATAGAGTAGATATATGTATATAATATATAAATATATAAAACAAAAATAATAGGTCTTGCAAATATTTTATTATTCTTCCCTATAAAGTTTCTGGTACCACATTCTTTCGCATAAGTGTTCGCTTTGTTCATTTAACAAGGATATTATTACTAATGCTTATTTTATTATTTTAGGATTTTCATTAAGCCAACTCATACCCAGTTTCTACAAATGAAAATCAAAGTCAATCATCTAAAATTTCATGATTTCTTCCCATCAAGAGGATCTGGAGTCTTCTGTTCCCATTAAAACTGAATTTATGGCAGTGCAAGCCCGGGCCAGACTGGGTAAAAAATGATGGAAGCACATTTATATTCTTAAAAATTTCTGCAGATTGCGTAGAAAGTTCTCAGATTTGTAAAAGTTTATTTCTATTGTAATTCTTTGCATGTTCATTTTGTTAAATTTGCAATATAAACCAGTTGCACATCTTTTGCTATCTGGCCTCCTAGGTTGAGGGTTAGGGTTTGCTTTAAGCAAAACTGAGATAACTATAATGTGAACTGGCCTACTGGATTGCCCACTTTTATCAATCTGCAAGGGTGGATCTATTTCTAGGTCTTAATTTCAAGGTTTACTTTCCCTTTTCCTTAGATTTTACTTGGATCAAAGGGCATGGAAATATATTTCTTAAGTCTTACACAAAGGAAACTGTGGCCCCAGAAATTATTTTGCTTTGAAAGTATGTAGATGAAATAAGTATTTTTAAATGTCTTGATTAAATAAAGCATTCTATGATCTGATCGTCAGCTCAGTATGTAGGCTAAGGGTATACCTTTACTTCTCTTTTTATGCTCAAATTTTTTTCATGTGATTTTTATTTTCAGTTTCACAGAGGACTACAATGATTGTCATCTCTAGGAATTTAGTTTGTTTTTAGCTAATACTCCTTTAATGCTTCTAAGACAAGCCTTTCAAAATTGTAATAAATGAGTTACACAGATTTAACTTTGGCTAAATTACCATATTTCCCTTCCTCACAGAACTTCAAGGTCTCTTGAGAGGCAGGGAGGATCACTTTTATTCTTATCAGTACTACTACTGTTTCTATTAGGTCAACTTTTTCCCTTTTTACTTTGCACTAAGGTTGCAACCATGTGACTAAATGATTTTAGTGTTCGTAACAAGCTCCAAAGGCTCAGCTATAAAAAGGAACCGTTTAACAACATCAAATATTGTATGAAATTATCCTGTATCAGACTCTCCTTTGAGAAGTGGCAAAATATTTTATGAGTATTACTTTGTTTAAAATAACCCGTTCAATTCTAAGGCTCATTTTGTTCATATTTTCAGTTTTAAAAATCCCTTTTCCTCTACTATTCAACCAATTCTGGTTAATATCAGGGACAATAAAGTTTAAAAAATATTAGACTTATGTGCTATATGAGCACATTCAAAGACTAAAATTTTGAGGTATTTTGATAATAGCTAAATAGCATGAGCTAAATATAAATATTCACAGATGAAAAGTTTTGACAAATTTTTCTTTCCTCAGGAACTAGGATTTAGAATAACCATAAATTAAAGGAATCTTCTAAGTATTTTTATCATATATATATAAATAGCAAGAGAAATATTTTCAGTTTTTAAAAAAGGGATAAAAGTGATAAAATAGGAAAAGGAGGAATAATGCTAATACATTTGACTTTACTTACCTTGCAAGTGTTCTACTGTCCTGTTAGAACAAACCACTGACTGTTACAAAAGTAACATTAGTTACATCATATTGTATTAGGTGGAATATGCTAATTTCTCTCTTGTAAAACAGTCTGGAGGTGGATAGTCCACACCACTTAATGGCGTTTCTTCAACGAGGTTGTACAGCAACCAGGATCCTTCTGTTACTTTCTTCCACAATGGTGTGCTGCCTCCTCTTCAGGGTCCAAGATGGCTGACTACCAGATCCACATTCCAAGCAACAAGATGGAGAAAGGGGCAAATAAATGGTCATGCCATTTTAATGACACAAATCATTGCCCCTCACATTCCATTGTCCAGAACACAGTCATACCTGCACAGGAGACTGGGAAATGTAGTCTTTATTCTAGGAGGCATACCCAATTGAAAAATCAAAAGTTCTATCATTATGCAAAAAGGAAAGAATGGATATTGAGGGAAAATTGGTGCTGTCTGCACATCTCTTATTTAGATATTTGTATAGAAATTCAAACTTGAAAATAATTCTACTGGGAATATGACAGGAATGACTAGCTGACAAATACCAACTATTCTGGGTTTTTGTTTATGAAGGATTAGTTTCCTTCCTTTGTTCATCCAAAAGCAATGAAATGCAAAACATTACCTGAATGAGTTCCAAGCTATGTTTTATTGGTATAAAACCAAAATAAGATGATGTAATACTCTGGTCTACCAGTTAGCTATATAGACCTAGGTGGAAAAAAAAGATTTTTAAGGAAAAAAGAAAAATGTTTTACTTATGATAAAACACTGATTAGTCTTGTCAATTTATCTGACCAAAACAAAAATAGTTCTTTAATTTTTATCAAATAAGTAAAAAGTCAGTAATAATATTGTAACTTCTGAAAAAATTCATAAAACTGAAAGGCAGAGAAAAATTTCTCAAACCATCAGTATATTTTTCTCCTTTATTAAAAGGGAGAAAGGCCGGGCGCGGTGGCTCAAGCCTGTAATCCCAGCACTTTGGGAGGCCGAGACGGGCGGATCACAAGGTCAAGAGATCGAGACTATCCTGGCTAACACGGTGAAACCCCGTCTCTACTAAAAATACAAAAAACTAGCCGGGCGAGGTGGCGGGCGCCTGTAGTCCCAGCTACTCCGGAGGCTGAGGCAGAATGGCGTAAACCCGGGAGGCGGAGCTTGCAGTGAGCTGAGATCCGGCCACTGCACTCCAGCCCGGGCGACAGAGCGAGACTCCGTCTCAAAAAAAAAAAAAAAAAAAAAAAAAGGAGAAAAAAGGTCTTCATGATTCTGCTAAAAGACATCAGCTAACAACACAAGGGGTAGTCAGGGAATGTCTTAAATCTCTGTCCTACTGATGAATCCCCTTCTGCTCTTCCTATGCGGGAAGACTATTTAAGGTCACGTCACACAGCAGCTACACGATTTGGTGCAACACAACTATAATCAGTTTGCTTGTGCCTGATGCAAAAGCTCTCAACTCCTAGTCTGTGTTATGTCCAAAGTTGTCCTTCATCTAATATATTAAAAACTACCCTCGTCATCTTAGAGCATCAATCAAAGCTACAAAAAAGATATATCTAAAGTTATTTTTGTTTGAAATACACATAGCCCAAGTTTCCATTTTCTGAAAAAGGCAGAACCAGAAAGTTATATATTATGAAAGCCACTTTAATTATTATTTAGATGACCCCAGATGTATGAGTGCCATTATTGTTGTATAGCTATGAAACAGATCATCATCTTTTACCTCATTACATTTCCTCAATATAAAGTTCCCAGTGACTATCCGATCACACCCAATTTCTCCATTTCCAAAGAAGCCGAATAGGGGAACACTAGGAAAAAACTTTCTGAACGCATCAGCCTCAACATTCCCCTTGGCTCTGTAATACTGAAAGCCCCTGCCAACGCATGCAAACATGAAGCCAATGGTGTTCTGCTCTGGAATGTTGGCCGCTTTGAGGCGCTGCATTGCAGCCTCGGCAGTCTTCTCATCACTGACGTCCTCGTTGAGGAGCACAGTGGCACTCTGGATTCGGTGTCCACTAAATGACAGTCCAACCACACCTGCGGCATCAATATCCAGAGGGTTCCTGGAAAATTTAGAAAAGTGGCAATATCTCATGAAACATTAAAATTTTTAAGTACAGAAGCAAAATCCTCCTGATTCACTGATGGGAGGCTGCTGCCTTTAGCAGCCTGTGGTTAATCTGAGGCTCACCCTCACAGATGAGTAAAATACGGTCAAAAATCAAACTATTAAAATAGATCAAGAGAAGCCACCATTTTTTTCAGTCACAAATACAAAGGGGCAATGCACATCCATAACAATTTCTGAAACCCATATTCAGTTATTAGAAGGGACAGTTTCCTTACCTTTCTGACTTCCTTAAAAGGAATCTTATAATTTTATTAATATACACAAAGATATCCATTAAACGAAGCCTTCTGCTATTATTTACATTGTTAACATCTTTCCCCCCACTTCAGCTGTCAAATTCTGAAAGACATATATTAAAAATATAATAATGGAGGGTGATTTTATTTTTTTGGAGATAGGGTTCTCTGTTAGCTAGGCTGAAGTGCAGTGGCACAGTCATAGCTCACTGCAGCCTCAAACTCCTGGGATAAAGCAATCCTCCTGCCTGAGTCTCTCAAGCAGCTGGGGCTACAGACACATGCCACCACACCTGGCTAATCTGTAAACATTTTGTGGAGATAGGGTCTCACTATGTTGCGCAGGCTGGTCTCAAACTCCTGAACTCAAGCAATCCTCCTGCCTCAGCCTCCCAAAGTTCTGGGATTACAGGCATGAGCCACTGTACCCAGTCTTAGAGGATAATTTTAAAAACCTATTAACTCTAGAAGTTTTAGCTTTATGTCTAGTCCACTAGAAAATATGTTATTTTTTGTCTTGTTTATTGCTTTGAGTCTAGAATTCAGCTTAATTTGATGGTAAAAACTCATGTTTTGTTTTTGTATTTGCCTGGTTTTTTTAAAAAATGAAATATCCTTAAAAAAGAAAATACAACATTGATAAAAGTTATAAAGCATATAATATAGTGAACATCCACTAGGGGAGAAACAAGTATGTTACATTTCTATCATGCTTCCAACATCTGAATCTATAAAATGGGCAAGATTCACTGGATTACTGAGAAACTAAGACGCAAAAAGGTTAAGTGACTAAGGTAATAAGGCTAGCTAGTAGTAAAACGAGTTTGTGAGGGGCAAAATCTATCTTCTGAAGTACTCTGCTGCTTTTAAAACTTTATCACATTTCCTCTTTGGTACAGAATTGTTAATACACATTGTCAATCTTGCCTCAAAGAATTATTCACCTTCCTTTTGGGCACTGGATCAGTTGGGTTATCTGGACTTTATTAAAATGGAGCACTCATTTACTCAACGGTTTCTCTTAACCACTGACAGAGTATGAAGACCACATTAAAATTAATGGGTCATATGAAAAGTAATGATTGGGGTGGAGGGTGTTTCTCATACTAGGTATAAAAAGTAGATGATATACAAATTGCTGTACTAACAAGCTAGCGCCTCAGATGTTTTAAGTCCGAGTGAGATACCTGCATTTCAAAGGTAAACTGTATGTTGAATCACCATTGCCCTATCGGTATACAATTTAAAAGTTAATAGCAAAGATACAGGAAAAATTAGGCAAGAGGGGAAATAACTTAGATAGTCACCAAGAATTCGGTGTATGTATGCACAAAATCCAGTGTTTGATATTCTACTGCCTGGGATTCAACGTACTTGGCTTTCCTCTTTTCCTCCTTCCTGGCAGTCCAGGGACCTCAACTTTAGCTATTTTCCCAGATCTAGCTCACAGAGACTACCAGAAGAGAGAGTATAACTAGGATGACTTACATAATTCTTACAGATACTGATCTCCCAGTCTGTCCCCAAGTCACCACTCTAGGATGCAAATATTAAACAGAGTGGGAAACAAATACTAGTGTTTACAAGCATTGAGGGTGGGGTAGGGTCTCATTTTCCTGCTGGAAACAAATGACATTTATGTCCACCTAATGGTTTCAAACTCAAAATGATATGTACTTTCATTCAAGATGGAAAGGAAGTAATGGCTCCCAAGACAGAAGAGCAAATATTTTTATCTTTGAAAGCAAAAGCCTTAGTAACAAAAATCAAAGATCCATAATTTTTGAGCTTGAAAAAGCCTTTCAAAAGATCTAATACAGAATTTCCAAAAACCAGTAGGACTTGCAAGATGCTCTGTGGAAAAAAAGGTTTTGTGACCTTTTTTGTGACAGATTTGGGAACTGTCACAGGTAATACTATTCCCCTTCCAGATTTCCAATGCACTGGGCATATTAGAAGCTCTGAGAAGTTTTGCATAAAGATACACTTGAACCATGTGTTTCCTTTAAAAGAGGAAACTAGAGAGGAGGTGACACATTGAGGTCACAGAGAGTACCACATTTGTCAAAGGAAAGATCAACAGGCAATGTCAAAATAAATTTTAAGGAGAATGTGAGTCCAACTAAGAAGTTCTTAAAGGACAATATATATAAAAATGTAATTATTCAACTGTAAGCAGAATTATGTTGAGTAAGCCCCTTAGCCAATGTCTACTACAAAATGGAATGAACTATTATCTTAGCAATTCTTTAAATGTGGTTTTTAAATTGTTAACCCCAAAGTGACAAAACCTGGGACCATTTCCCCTCATTCACAGAGGAAATCAGACACACACAAGACATACTTTTCAGAAGTCAGTGATGACAGGTTGTCCACCTGGCCTCCAGCCAAGATGATATTCATATCACTGAAAGTGCTGACTACTTGCTGCAGATAATTACTGGCTCCCACCTTACAGCAATTATAACCAAAGACAAGAACCACACGAAGTTCAGGGTTATCTAAAAGACCTGCAGAGAAATGAAGAGCAAGAGTTAAAGACAGCCTTAAAACAAATTATTTTATACATGTTGCAAAATGAAATGTTACTGTTAATAACTTGCATTCCTCCTTAAGGGCAATTTAGTGGCTTAAGCTATGAAATTTTCCATTTTTTAAATCTTATTTTATATCCTCTTCTATCTCTGTATCACGTTTTTCATTTCTTACAAACATTATGCAAACTCTTTATAATTTTTTTCTATTAAAAAAACCAAATGACTATTTGTATTAATAAATAATACAATGAACACAAATAACGAAGCAGCTATGTACTGAGCAGCAATCCTTGGTGCACCAAGGTGCAAGCTGGCTCCCGGTAGGGAACAAAAGAGAACACTGGTTTACACAGAGCTGCGCTAACAGCAGTGAGAATTTACAGACGTTTTATTTTTTAAAGGAGAGAAAAGGCGCTAACCACCTATAGTGTGGTGAACAGTGCCCCCTGCCCACGCAAAAGGTATGTCCACATCCAATCTCTGGAACCTATGCATGTGAGCTTATTTGGTAAAAGGATCTATTTTAAATTTAATTTTTTTTTTTTTTTTTTGGTAGAGATGGGTTCTCGATATGTCAGTCAGTAAGGATCTTGAGATTAAATCATCTGGCTTATCCAGGTGGACTCTAAATCCAATGACAGTGTCCTCATAATAAAAGATATACAAAAGGAGAGACAAAGAAGAAAAGGCAGGGTGACCACAGAAGCAGAAACTGGAGCGGCAGGAAGAGAAAAAGACTCTCCCCTAGAGCCTCCCGAGGTAGCACTACCCCTACTGCCATCTCAGTTTCAGACTTCCGGCCTCCTGAACTGTGCAGAATAAACTTCTCATTCTATGCCACCAAATGTGGGGTACTTTGTTACAGCAGCCTAGGAAACTACTACATCACTGAAATACAGGCTTTATTCACCTCCTCCAGGGAAGCAGGTGAGAGTAAAGGCGAATTAGTGTTTGAAAGTTCCTTCCAAAGCAGGAAAATGTTAAATTCTGTGACACAGGAACTAAAAGCTGCTACCACTAAGAGGCGGCAGAGTGTAACAGAGACAGCCTACTCCCTCTGCCCACAGCTCCCAGGTTTCACTGGAGCCTCTGGGCAGCTTGTTTATAGACTATCAATTTGATTTTTTTTTTTTTAACTTTTAAGTTCAGGGATACATGTGCAGGTTTGTTACATAGGCAAACGTGTATCATGGGGGTTTGTTGTGCAGATTATTTCATCACCTCAGTAATAAGCCCATTCTCCATCAGTTACGTTTCCTGATCCTCTCCTTCCTCCCACCCTCCACCCTCTGGTAGGCCCCAGTGTCTGTTGTGCCCCTCTTTGTGTCCATGCGTTCTCATCATTTAGCTCCCACTTATAAATGAGAACGTGTAATATTTGGTTTTCTGTTTCTGTGTTAGTTTGCTAATGATAATGGCCTCCAGCTCCATCCATGTCCCTGCAAAAGACATGATCTCATTCTTTTTTATGGCTGCATAGTAGTCCATGGTGTATATGTACCACATTGTCTTTATCCAGTTTATCACTGATGGGCATTCAGGTTGATTCCATGTCTTTGCTATTGTGAATAGTGCTGCAATGAACATACATGTGCATGTGTCTTTATAATAGAATAATTTATATTCCTTTGAATATATACCCAGTAATAGGATTGCTGGGTCAAATGGTATTTCTGTCTTTAGGTCTTTGAAGAATCACCACACTGTCTTCCACAATGGCTGAACTAATTTACACTCCCACCGACAGTGTATAAGTGTTCCTTTTTTTCCACAAACTCACCAGCATCTGTTATTTTTTGACTTTTTAATAGCCATTCTGCCTAGTGTGGGATGGAATCTCATTGTGGTTTTGATTTGCATTTCTCTAATGATCAGTGATGTGGAGCTTTTTTTCATGATTGTTGGCCATATATATGTCTGCTGCCAGCATTACCAAACAGAGGTGCTTTGGGACAGGAAAATGAATCCAATACCTAACACACTTGTGTTTCCATTTGATTTGACCACATGACTTCCACCTTGACAGACCTAAGGTGGTTACCAGAGAGGACAGTTACTTAAGGAAACAAAGGGTATGCAGATGCGTGAATGACCAATTACTAACACCAAATAATGACCTATTCTGGGAAACTGCCTCTGGTCCATTTCCAATTCTCTGTACAGTAAATTACTGTCTTGGACAGTAAAAAGAATACTGCTTTCATGACATCATATACCCCAAACCATTGCTAAAGGGTCTTTTTTCCCCTATAGACTAGCCCACGAAATTTTGAGAGAATATGTTTTCTTCATTAGAACAAAGTTTCAGAGTTGGGAGAGGCCTATGAGATCAAGTCTAGAGTTTTATTTTACAAACAAGGACTACCAATGCCAGAGAAGTGACTACTACCCCAGGACAATATATTGACAGACTCTACATTAAAACCCACATCTCCTGACACTCGGGGCTTTAGCTTTTAGAAACCTCATGGCTTCTAAATCTCAACCTTTCCTACTGTTTTCTAAGCTCTAGATGCTCTTTTACAATTGTCCACTGAACATCCTACCTGAATATTCTAAAGGCAACCACTCCCATTCATTTAACAAACACATACCCAATGTAAAAAAAAAAAAAAAAAATCTCAGGACCTCCAAACTCCTTATGCCAAAGGGAAAGTTAAGCCTAGAGGCTGAGTCAAGCGAAGCACCATCCTCTCTCCAAATTAATATTGCTACTTCACAACCCTGTGTCAGAGCATCATACATTAGCCAGACCCAACCCCTCATACACCCCCAACCACTCCACCAGGAAAGGCAAAAGGCTTTAGTCATCTCCAGATGACTGCTCCCACAAATCATTCATAAGGAAAATCTTTGCTGGCCTCAAAACCTTTAAGATGTACATCCTCCCATAACACAAGGACATGTCAATTGTAACTTTAGGTCTGCAATCTGTTCAATTCCACACTGATAATGTCCATTACAAGCTTACCTTCCCAGATGCTGCACAAAAACAAGAGATCAGTAATGTGTCCACCTACTTGAGACGTCTGCATAACTGGTTCTTCCTTTCTTCAAAAGGTTCACCTTATCTTATGTAAAATGTAGATTTACTGAGCACTAACTAAAGTCTCACAGGAACGTGACCATTCACCTCATGCCTATCCTTCTCCATCCTTCCTTCTCTCCTTTAAAAACATGTATTGAAAACCTTTTCAGAGTACACGGCCACTCGTTTGTGCCTAGTGTTTTTCCCGGATACACTCTCAACCTCTGGCTCAGTAAACCTTGAATGACTGAGATTCTTGCCTCAGTCACACATTCCAGTTAACACCATCTTCTCCAGTGGTGTTCTTTCAACATCTTCTCTAGTGGGTTTGTTCTCAGCTAATGGAACACTTCCCCCTCCCAATACACAACCCTAGAAAGTAAAATCACTTTCCCCTACCCCAACTTAGAGAACAAACCCACCTTAACCAAGGCTGTCTGTCTGATAGAGCAAAAGGCTCTGTATTTAACCAACAGACTACCTGTGCTACTGGTAAATAAGAGAGGGAAGGTACAACTCCAACTCCTTGACACTCAAAACTCAAAGGCCTAAAATATGAGGGAAGAGTAGGGAGCAATGCCAATTTTTCCTGAAACGTTCTGGGTTCCCCCCAATTCATAGGTAAAGGATCATCAAGGACCCAATGTTCTGGGCCACCTGCCATAGAATCTGACTTCAGATTTTATTCTAGAATTTTCCAAAAGTTGATACATTAGTAGGAACTTACCACAACCATTAAACACAATTCCAGAAAAGTATTTATAAGGCACTTTAAATAGTGTAACCTCCCGGTGAACCTTTCAAGATGATAAACTGCTTATAAAATGTAAACTCAGGTAACAATAAATTGGCCTGCCATGTAGGATTGCCAACTATAATCAAGTTAGCTACTGCAGTTGTCCACCAAGAGATGTCTTTGGTTTTGGAATAGTATGAAACTGTTCTTTCCAGCAATAATCTTTAAGGTAAATTTAGCAAAGAATTACCCCATCCTCTTAGGAATTTTTCATCCATCAAGCCCCCACCCTCCTCCTTGGCTAAAAATCCCCACCTGTGGTTGGTGCATTTGGAGTTGAGCCTGATCTCTCTCCCCTAATGCAAAACTCCATCACAGTGGTCTCCCGAACAAAGTCTGCCTCACTGTCTTGAATAGATGTCAGCACTGCTTTTTCTTTAACACTAGCTTCCTGTCACTTCTGCTTTCTCAAGGGCTGGGCAACTTCAAAGGCAGAACAAGTTCAATCCCTTGAGTTTCAGCACTGATTCTCTCTGCTTCACACCTGGTACTGCCTATGACCCCTCAAGACTCTTTATGACGTCTTCAGTTAATTTTAAAACTTTGTCCTACTTCAAATTTTTTTGGAATCTGACAAGTCATTAAAGTCCATTTTTACCCTGCTTGGTGGCTGGCAGAATTCAAGAGGAGTAGTTAAAGGATCAAAAAGCAGGGAGCAGAAAGAACCTGAACAATCTACAAGCTAGATCACCAGATCACCAATCTCACAATGAACACTAGTACAGATCACTGTTCTAAGTATGTTATAGAAATTAACTTATTTAGGCTGGGCATGGTGGCTCACGCCTGTAATCCCAACACTTTGGGAGGCCGAGGCAGGTGGATCACCTGAGGTTGGGAGTTCAAGAACAGCCTGACCAACATGGAGAAACCCCTTCTCTACTAAAAATAAAAAAAATTAGCCGAGCATGGTTGCCCATGCTTGTAATCCCAGCTAGTCAGGAGGCTGAGGCAGGAGAATCACTTGAATCCAGGAGGCAGAGGTTGCAGTGAACAGAGATCGTGCCATTGCACTCCAGCCTGGGCAACAAGAGCGAAACTCCGTCTCAAAAACAAAAACAAAACAACAACAACAACAAAAGAAATTAACTTATTTAATGCCTGTAACAACCTGTTACGTATTGTTTTACTCCTAAAAAGTCTGTGAGG